ACATTTAAATAAATAACATTGATAAAATTCAATCAAATAAAAAAATATATAGGCTAACAACAATTCATACTAAAGTTACAACCGATAAAATATACATATTTTTAGATAMCATAATAATCAAGTGATACTAACTTATAACCGAAATATCTATAAAAATATACCTAATAAACTAGTTTTTGATTAAAGTTTTTTAAACATTTAAGTTCATAAAATTGCCTATATAAAACCCCTTAAATTATTTTAATATTTCATTTTCTTTGTAAAATTGTAGTATATAAATTGTTGTTAATTTTAAGTTGTACTGATATTTTATCTATTTATTTACAATAAAATAATATTTTTAATCAACAATTTTGACTATAATAATAAACAATAATTTCTGTTTTAAAACATTGGAAAAATTGCATCTCTACTGAATTTATATATTATGTAAAATATTATGCTTACAATGAAAGTGATAAATTTTTATTATTAATTTAAATGAAAGAGTTTATAAATACAACTAGAAATCATCACTTAGTATATTAGGCTCAAAATAATTAACTTTGAATAGATTTAAAAAAAAAGTTATTATTTGGTTTACTAACAGTATTACTTCTAATTGTGATATGTACTAAGAGAGACGCCAAAGGAATATCTTCAGAATAGCCATTTTTTAGTGGAACGCTTCTATAACCTGACCTCAATGAAATTATCTGAAACAATAAATTATGTCTATATAAGTAATAAATTAATATTGAAAAACAAGATGTAAAGAAACATACCGAATAAGTTCCTTGTCCTATGAAATTCGAATCACCAAACATGTCTTCATCATTCACAACAAACCTAATAAATGCAACTGCAGGATTTGCAATTTCAAACTCAGAAGTTTCATTCCAAACTGGATTAAATCCATTATCAGCTATAAAAAAATAAAATTGTTACATGCATAATTCAGTCCTAACACAATAATAAACATACGTATTGTGCGTGTATTTAGTTTCAATCCTGAATCGTATTCAGCTCCATACACTTCAACAATAACGAATGGATTAGAAATTCCGTTGCGACCTGGTCTACCAACATGTCGACCAGCAATAATACAAACAGTTAGTGATAATGTCTCTTCCATCCAATTAGTCGAGAGTTTATCACTTTCATCTAACATATAATCTGGTTTTAAAACATATCCACAACCACCATTTAAACGAAATTTGGCTTGATTTAACTGCATTGCTTTATCTAAAACCMAAAAATGAAATTATTATAAAACTTAATTGCCAWAAAATAATAGAATTGTATACCTGGTGACTGGTAATTTAGAGCAGCCATTTGACATCCTGTATTCCATATAGCTATTGGYGAATAATTAGAGGAGTCAATACGTTGTCCTTTTGGAAACACTCTACTAAATTGAACTTGATGATAACGAAAGAAGAATACGCTTTCTTGATGACACATAAGTTTTTCCGCTTTATTTTCGGGAAACGAAGACATTTCATTGTGTACAAATCCACGTTCTCTTTGTGTTTCTAGACAAAAAGCCACTGATCGACAATAAATAATAAGATCAGATATTTCTTTGGCAATTTTCAACTGTCTTTCCATTTTTTTATTTTCAGTTTCCTTAATAAAAATAACAATAAATAGCATTAATATTAGATTAAAATTATATTATTTGCTTTTATTACTCTTGCACTGGCATTATGGGCAGTTTCAATAATAAGATTTCTCCATTCTTCTGCTTGTTCTCGTGACACTGCACCWACAACGAATGGGGTGCATGCATTAGAGGTTTGTATTTTGATCATCCACTCAAGTTTCAGTTGATTTAATTTGCCGATCTCGACTAAAGCACCAGTTAAGTCTAAACTTCCTTTTTGTGAATTCCCCAAAAACATAGATTCTGTTGACTAGAACATATTTAAATAAAAACAAATATAATATTATTAATATTATCAATTATTTAATTAGATCAGGGAAACATTTTTTKACATATGTTGACATATGTCTTATGATTTCATCTCACCTGATTTCTCAACTTTTTAAGTATAGAATAATATTATATAAATAAGCTTTATAAATTAACCATCTTAGGTTTATAATGCATATTCAATCAAATAAATCGAACATTTTGATTTATAAAATTATACTTAATATATTATATTATAACAAGTGTGACTCTTAATCACACTCATMATTTTCAAAAACATTAATTATACAATAGTTATTGACATGGTGAGACTGTTAGACACTCTGTATAATGTTGTAATTGTAATTATAATCAGTAATTGCTGAACATAAAATATATATGAACATAATACATAGTTAAAATAAACTGATATTTATTCTAGTTTGCTTAAGTCTTTATGCTTACCCCACTGTCAGATTTTTCTATGTGTGCCTCTTGTAATTCTTCTACGTGATTACTGGGAAACCAATGTTGCCGTTTTCCACCATAATCACCACGCCACCAACCACTGTCCTGTTTCACTACATTTGTAATTACAGCATGCTTGCAAAATGATAATTCATCATCTTGTCGGCTCTCATAATCAAATGTTGCTTTCACAGTAACCTATCAATCATAAAAAAATATTATTGTACATTTATTTTTTGATAAAAATACATAGGTATCTCATAATACCTAATACCTAATAAATACTTTTACAGTTATAATACTAATAGCATAGGTATAAAAATATATATTAATTTGAACACTTCAGAATTATTCCTTTAAATTTAAAATTATGTATATTTATTTGAGGAAAGAGTGGTTAATAAGTTAAAACTATTCGACTTTTTTTTTGTAATCTGAATAGCTTTTTATGGAAGAATTTAATCATTTCAAAATTATAAGCCAAATCGAAAATGAAAATAGTTAACTGTTTTGAATTTAACCAGTAAGTACTGATTTTCAAAACAAATTCCAACAGTGGATAGACAAGTGGTTAATATTAGTTAATACAATTTACCCGAAAATTTCGATACCATCGAATAAGAAAAATATAAGCACCGAAATTTGTTGTTGTTGTTTTAATTATTAAATTATATTCAATGTTATTCAGATGTTGTTTTACAAAGGTATTCTAAATAATTAATAAACCATTTTTAAAAATTTCTTTTACTRGAAGCAATAAAATAAATGAYAATTTAAAAATCATTTATAGTTAAAACATACTAAAAATGATAATAACCCACCCAACTTCTAAGGTGGCCATTCTAATTAACAAAGTTAATTTTAGTTACCTTCTTTATGAAACTACTCGGATCCATATAACCAGGTGTACATGAAATTGAAGAATCATCAATATCCTGAAAACATAAAGAGTTAATTTACTTAATCACGCAAACAAAATAACTTAAATACAATTATTAAATATGCTATTGACATTTTAYATGAATAAACTACTAGTATATGGTAAATATTATAATCAAAGAATATTTTATTTTTCAATGTTTAGGTAAGATAGAAACAAAATAAAAATCTTAAAGACCAATAATTATATTACAATATTATTGTTTCAAACTTTCATATTGACAAAATTAAATCATAACTGGTATGTAATCACTAATCACCAGGGCTAGGATTTGTATGCAATAAAAAATTGTAAAATATGCATTTTAATTTCTATCATAGATTTTATATTGACCGACATACTTTCATTAATTGTGTTTATCTTTATCCGTCAAACTATTCAATCTTTAATTGCATAACCTATCACAGGATTGTATTTATAGAAATAAAATTTGTGTTTGGTAAAAATAACCAAGTTTTATACTTTAATCAGCAGAGCTAGAATTAAATACGAAATATATTATAAAACATGCATTTTTTGCCTTCTTATATAATCGAAATATGCAATAATATTAATTTTATTCAAAATATGCAAAAACATACAAAATAAAAACACCACCATTTATCTCATCATGAGGTGATTCGTGGACATTACTGACAAAATCAATAATTAGAAGTCGCAAAAAAAAACATGCTGTTGCGTACAAATCCTAGCCCTACTAATCACTACCTAATCATATTCATTTGGGGACAGATTTATAATCTATAAGTCATTTCAAGTAACTTCGACACTACAACGTCCTCTTAAATGTAAACATATTTCAGTCCATTTYATTCCGGCGTTGCATGCAATATAATATTATAAATAGACAATAGTATAAATTATTTTATCTAAAAATTTTAACTCAACATAGACTCTAAAAAGATTAAAAACTTCAAATTAGAGAGGTCATTTTAAGTTCGATGAACCTTCAATAAGGGTCGAATGTTTTAATATACCTATATACYTTTCGTAACAATACGTCATTAGAACTCTTTTTTTCGTTATTATTTAGTATCCCAGAAACCTGATCTTGGAATTTTTAAATTATGTTGCCTCAATAGGTGACGGGGTACAGAGATTTTGTTATTTATGCCTAAACCGGTTATGGTGGTAGCTTAACGTTTTCATCTCCCACGATGTATCTCCAGGAGGATGGCTGGATAATATTATGTGATTCACATATAATAACAAACATAATATAATGTCTGAGGGTGAAACCACAAGACGTCTAGGTATTTTTTTTTTTAATAATGATAGTTACAATAACCCGACACAAATACAAGTAGCTCATAAAAACTACAAGTCTACAAARGATACAAGTCATATGCCRAAGATCGGAAAGGTGAGAAAAAAATTATATTATTATGAAATATAATTATTTTCTAAAGATGTAAAAAAGAAAAAATATAATGTTCTGTATAATATATAGTGTAAAAAATAAAGATTAATATTATTTTTTAGTGTGTTAAAACATGTTCACCGCTACACCTATAATTCTAATCTGGTGTAGTGGTGTCATACACGCCACGTATCTGCTAATAACATACGCAGGACGATAAAAAGATACGAAAAAAGCGGGAAACAAAAACCGACTGAAAAGTATTTATTGAACAGTGAATGGCCACGATAAAACATAAAGCAGTGCCCCTATAGCCGAATATTATTTATTGGCATATTTTAAATAATAATAATATGCACTAGTGAAAATCTTCGGCAGTAGACTGGGGCCCAACTCTTGAAATCATGATTAACTTTGTCGCGTGCGATATTATTTTTATCCCATGAAAATAAATGTTTATTATTCTTGAAGTATAGTAATAATTTATARTACTTATGACTTWAGTCGAGTGGGTATTAACATATGAACTAGTAACAAAATTATATYGAAAACTGTATGAAATAACTATGATAGAAGATACTTTGGAAAATTAGTTGTATGTTTTAATTATTTTGTTGTATGTATTATCTTACATAACTATTCATTTGTATTTCACACGAATTAGCATAATATTTACTATTTAGTTCAATATTTAAATTCGTTAAAATCGCAAATTTGTTGGCAATTCAAAACCTGAAGTGGAAGAAAACGTTAAGTTTCAACATCATCCGATCGATTATTTGTAAAAAATTTTAGAYTAATTAAGTAGATACTCCAACTAGGTATTTAATTGAAATATTATCAYCATTTGTTKAAGTTAAAACTGATGGGTATCGGTGGTGAACGAGTTAATGTATTATTATAATATTTGAAAGCATCTTCAACAAATAATCATTATTTCTAGTTTTCCTTATTAAATATAATGTTTTCTATAAATTGTGAGAGGATTCACATTCACCATCCGCAAAGTCCAAATTATATAACAAGATTCACGAGATATAATTATAAAAAATACTTCATTGATAGGAATGTACGCCGTACGCGTTACCTAGTASAGTACCCTTTTAAGGTTTTAATTAAATTCTTTTCTGAATATCAGTATAGTATTATACATTTCATCCTTAAAATTATGTACCTATTACCAGCTTTTTTATAAATTTAAATAAATAAAATATTTATACATATACTTACAAAATTTAAAAAAGTGTATTATTTAAGAACAGTTTTTGAAAAAATATACATACTGAGCACAAAAGTCAATAATTAATGATTATTTACTTTTAAAATG